GACAACAAGCCTCCTGAGCTTATCAAAGTCAGCTTTCCTATAGTCGAGGACTTCTGCATTTCTGACTGCTTGCCCCCTTCCACCTGGAGCGAGCTGTGCCCGCATCCCGCCCCCTCTCCCGCCCTAGTTGGGCAAGCAGCAGCAGGACAGAGCCCTTGCTCCCAGCATTGCCGTGCCCACATCCCGGCTGGTAGCTCCACACTTGTTTTTCCCTTTCCCACTTGACCCCCCCCCATCCACAATCAGCCAGCCAAGAGGCTAAAGGTACTTGTCAAAACAACACTTACCTCCATCCTTCATGCCGGACCACTGAAGCTTGGCACAGTACTAGTCCTTGACACTGGCTCAAAATCTTGTTTAGGACAGGTTGTCAGCAGATGCCACCTGAGTTGAGGGCCTTGTCACTCAAAGTGGTCTCCAGATCCGGGCAGACCTAATACATGCTTCTGGGTCATCTGATATATCAGAGCACTCTGAAATGTTATGGTTATTGCCCCCAGTGATCCACCCTCTACAGCAAGTCTCGGGTCTCCCCTTCCCCACCCACCCACACCACTGGCTCATTAGCAGAAAACCAGTCCAGTCTATGCTACTGACCATCTTCACAGAAGACATGGTTACCTTGCAGCAAGCAGAACAGGAACGATGGGCCCTTTGTAAGGAACTCCTCTGTCTTTAGATGCCTTGATGAGGCTGGTTTTGAGCTGCCACATCATCACTAGCACAAGCTCAACCATTTCAGATACAGGGTAGTGAAGTGTATAACAAAATCCCCACAGCTGGCAAAGGAACAGCCCTCAGCATAGCTACAGTATAGTTTGGACTTGGCAGATTTACTGAATTGTTGCCCCTCTAATGGTGCTATCAGAATGACCCCCTAGACTCCAACAAGCCCCACGACCACTGAATGATTGAGTTGCCTAAGCCCCTTCTGATATAAATGCCTGTTTCTATTTCCCTTTATACGTTTCTTTTTTCAATCTGCATCGTGCAGTACTACTACTACATTCACTTGAGAAAGTTTGCATTAAATAGTACCTTAGACTTTTGTATCCATGCACTGTGATACAGGTCACCCACCACAACTGGGCTGAAGTAACTCCAGCATCTCAACATCTTTTGTATGCTCAAGTTACCCAACATCCTATCATAGAGCTGGCTTGAGCAGGAATTCTCCTTCCTACAGCCACACGTGGAGAGAATAGTGCTGACCCAATGCCAAACCCGGAAGTCATTGGGCACCTGAGCACTTGTTCAGTGCCTCCTGGGGCACAGGGTTGTCCCTCTTGAACTCAGGAAGAGTAAGTTGTGACCCAAATGTGGTCAACAGTGTGAGCAAGCACCCTGCTATCACAGGGTCCCCCAGAAGGGACCCACCTGTGAGCAGTGTGGGACCCAGTCTATTCCTCCCCCCCCACCAACAGGTGACATCTCAGGTCACATAACCATTTGCTTCCAAGTTTAATGTACATTCTCCAGTGCTTATTTTTGCTGGCACTTGTATGTAGGCTGGAAAACTTTCTTATTTATTTCAGGCATCCAGTGTACCCTGAGTTTATTTTTGCCTTTAAATTAGTCATGGCTGAAGGAGCAGGAGAGTTGAACTTTACAGCGTTGCGTGTGCAAACTGATTTTAAGGTCTGCATGCCACCTCCATCTAACCCGGAGACTTAAATGGACCTCGTTCACTTCAGGCACATGGTGGAGGTCACAGGAAAAGAGAACATTCGTCAATAAGACTCAAGAGCTGCAGATGTTTTCCTGTGTTAATTTAATCATACAAATATTCATTTATACATAAAGGGAACAGCTTCCTTTTAACCCTCAATGTGCTCTTGTACGACTTCTCCCAGACCCAATGCGGCAACACACCATCCTGCTCTACACATGCACTCCCCACAGAGAGAATAAAAGACAGGCCGCAGAACCAACCACTCACTCACACAGGAAAAAAAAAAAACACAACGGAAACCCAGACACGGGACAGCGTGCATTTCTCAGCCCTGCCAACACCAGCCACTCACACCCACAGGCTCTGGGACTGTTTCTGCTTCCCCTCTTGGGGAGCAACAGGTATCTTCCAAGCTCTGGAGGATTCAGGGTGGTCCTCCTGAAACACAAAGCACCAGAGTCCCAGGCTGGCCAAAGCAGGTGGGTCACCTGTTCCCAGGTATGGAGCACATTACCAGCAAGAAGGGCTCCAGTGCTCATCCCTGGCTTTCTCAGCAGTGGGACAGGATGCTTTTGTAGCCCCAGTTTCAGTCACATTCTCAGATACAGAAGATTTTGAGGCATTTCCTGACCCAAACAGCTGATGCTAAGCTCAAGGATCCATGAAAGAAAGGTAATTGTTGGAAATGGGAAATTCCTGGCTTAAAAGGTCCCAACCCCCTACCTCATTTCACGACTTCCAAGATCATTGCCTCTAAAGAAAAAAAAAAAGTTGCCTCTAGAGAAACAAAGAAAATTGTCCTGGTACAGCCTATCTATAGCCACAGTCTCTCTCATACCACTGGGTACCACCAGCTCCTTTGCCTCCCAAATCAGGGAACCCGCTTGAGGAAACGCTGCATGAAGCAAACTTCATTTGGCCTTTCCTTGTCCAGTGGGCTCAGCTGACAAATCGTTTCCTGACAATCCCAGAAGTCAGTACAACACATTCAGCCTAGCTTACATAACTGCTGCACCCACACCTTCCCATCAAAGTCTATGAGAAAACTTAGGTATTGAGCGCTTCTGGAAATTTAGGTCATTTTTTGGTTTAAATGCCTCACTCTGGACTCCCAAGTTCAAACGTGCCTGCTCTACAAAACCAGTGCAATTGCTGCTCTCGCTGTTATCCGGAAAGAGTTTGCTAACCATCCTCAAAACTCTTCATTTAAGAACTACTGCAAACTGAATGGCAAGTTGTATCTGGAGACTGCTAGCATTTCTGAGTACTAGGGAACTTGAGGACATAAACCACTGCTGACATCAAAGCAGGTCTCACTGGAGAGATGAGGAGGGAAAAGAGGCAGAATCACCAGCAATTTAAACATTCTCCCACTGTTACAGCAGGGGTTATTCAACTAACCAACACCCTCAAACAGTTATAGCGTTTTGTCACTAGTGATATAATGATCATCCCCATAGAAAAGGATTGTGTTTATGCTCAAGAGGGTTTCCTGGGGAACAGCTGTAATACATGAGTATCAAGAGGCTGGTTTTCTGCAGCTGCAAGGCAAGTCTGACAGTGACTTCCCTCGCACCCTGGAGTGAGCAACCCGGTGACAAGAGTGCTGTTAGACTGAAGGGGAGAAAGGAGACTGTATTCAAAGCTGTGCAAAATCGGCATGCCCTCCGACTAAGAAAGGCCAGTACCAGGGTGCACGCCACGTGACTCCTGGAAAAGGAATCTTTGCAGTGGAAAAACGTGGACATACACATGGTAGTCATTTCTAAATGCATCAAGTGTGTGTACCTGGGAGCAGAAGGGAAAATGAAGTCAGGCCCGAAGGTGACAACTTCCCCTGCCCATATGAGGTCTGCAGGGTTCCAAGTGTGGCAGCAGCAGGTGTCAGTGACCCAGGGCTCACTTTCACCTCAGTCTACACAACAGCCAGATAAGGCTGAACTGAAGAGGCCAAGGGGCAGCCTCATCAGCTGGACTACACAGCAATCCCCTGGCCTCTTCCCCCCGCTTTAGAAGGGACACACAGTAGTCGTGCACATGAGGTACTGGAGGGCACAGGCTCAATGCCTAGCAGGCTTGTCACAACCAACTCCACCAGGCCAAGCTGGGAAGAAAAGATCCATTCACCCACAGGGTCAGGATGATGTAAATCTCTCCCTTTACTCACCTGTCCAAAGGCTGCAACTCATCCAGGGCAAGAGGAATTTTACAACGTACAGAGTATGAGGACTGCAGCTGAACAAGTGCACCTTCTCCATTTGCATTCAAGGGGGAGAAACTTGGATTTAATCAACTCGTGCAGTTTTAGCAAAAAGCTGCCTTCCCCTCCCCACATGCCTCCAGGTTAACTCAGCAACAAGAGCTGGCTCAGCAACAGGCTCACAGTACACAGGATGTCTTCCAAGCTTCCCTTCTTACACCCAAGTAGCAAATTCTTACACAAGTTCGTCTCCCAGCATTTGGAGCTCTCTTTAGATTTCAAACGTACAGGGAAGTTATTCTTCAAACTAGGATCTCTACAAGACAAACAAAGTCCACCAGTGGTCAGCAAAAGCACAAGACTGCCAGGCCCCATGCTTCTCCCCAAAGGCCCAAGTCTTTCTCTGCTGGGTATGAGGAATTCATTAGCCTTAACAGAATCTACCTGCTTGCCTTGGTGTGAGAAGAGGGACGCTGGAGGCTAAATGAAGAACAAACACTGACACAATCAAGGAACTAGTGCTCCTTGGAAACAGCCTAGGGCAGACCAAGAGAAGATGGCAGTTTGGATTAGGGTAACTACATGGCGATAAGAGGGGTGTTTTGCATATTAGTGTATCTTTGGCAGGCGGCTCTTGTGGCTTGGTTCAAGTTTCTAAAGTAGATAGTACCCTCACACCCTCTTCCATTTCAGTTCAACTCACAGTGACCACAGCACCTTGGAAGTCTGACACAGAACTCAAGTCACTTTTCCTACCTATGGGATTAGTCTGTGTCATCCTATTATACATGGCTATCATTCCACAGTTACGTGACCCTCACGTCCAGAAGAGCTCTCCTTCGTCTAAAAACAAACCTTGAAGAGCTCACCTAGAAAGAAAAACCTCACAGAAGCTAAATTGGCCAGCAAGAGAAAGGCGAGAGAAATGCAAGATGCCATCGTGGAATCCAGCTGATGATTCCACTTCTTGCGCTACATTCAAAAACACCTTGGCCTCTCCCTGCTAAGCTAGCATTTCACCACAAGAAAGAGGAATTAGAAATATACCAATACAAGATGGAAGGGTAAGAATGGAAGGCTTAAAACTAAAGAGCATGACTTTTGCAAAGCTTTACAATTACTAGCTGGTGAACTAGATACAGAAAGTTAGCTTCCTCTTGGCACAAGACTAATACACTTGCATGGTGGTCCTAGGCACAACTACTGTACATTGATAGTTAACAAGATGGTATTTTAAAAATAATCCTACCAGCTTTGGAATCCTAATAAATTTGTTTCATTATATATTTTGTGTATTCAAGTTTCAAGGGGGTTGGGAGGAGTCTCCCATATTATCTGAGCTTAGTCCTGCAGTCCTCTCCTCCTTATGAGATAATGAAATCTGGTGTTGACTTAAATCTTCAAGGACAGGTGTGGAATACCAACAGCACCCCTCAAAAGGGGAAAAGAATCAACAAAAGATTAAAAAGGTAGATAACTAAGAACAGCTGAAGTCATTAAAATCCAGAGAGCTGGGCGTGAACCCAAATTTACATTAAAAAATGCCCAACATAGAAAAAACAAAGCCACAGCACAAACCCCAGAAGATGCTAAGCAAGTTCCCATTCTGTAGCAGGCAAGCACAAAAATCGATAAAAATGCACGCTGTCCCTTATTTTTAAAAAAATATGAACAGGAAACAAACAAAGAAATTAAACATTTGCACAAACTACAACCGTTCTTGTAAGCAAAATAATTTCTCTTAAAAAGATGGCTTTTTCATTTTAAATGTTTAAACTTCTTTTAAGCTACCTAATTAATCATGAGAATGACTCCTAAAAAAAAAAAATGGTGTTGGTGTATTTTCTTTCTTGTAGCATTGAACAGCACTCCTGAAAATTCAGCATTCACACATGCATACTTAGTTTTGTTTTTTCCTCTGGAAACAACTAGTCTTAAGTTATTGTTTTCTTCGTTATCCAGGACATGGAGGCAGAGAAGGGGGGGTCCATGCTGCGTCTTCAGTAAGCCATTAGAACCTCCCTCCCGCCCCCGTAAGTCAGTTGTTAAAATTCTCCTCTTGTCGATACCCGTTTTTTGATTTTTAAGACTGTCCGAAGGGATAAGGACCGTGGAAACCCTGAAAAAAAGTTGGAGACAAAATCAGTTTCAATAGGCAAAAGCTGAAACCAACTGATCAATGTGTGTGCGCAAACATCCCTACCACCCCCATTCTTCCAACTCCGCATACTGAAGTCCCCACTCCTTTCACTTCAGCAAGTAGCTACATACCCATGTAAGATCCATCCCGACAGTGTGGTTGTTTGTCTCCCTCTACCGGGTAAGTCTCATGTACACATTTGATTTGGCTCCTGCATTTCAGATAATGGATCTGGTTTTGCTTTTAAGATCCACAGGACTTGCATTCAGGCCTCAGAGATTAACTTATCAAAGGGAGTTACTACAAAAGACTCCCACAAACTCTCCTTTTCCAGCTAGCCTGACAGTCGCCAGCTACCAGGGCTCACCAAGCTGCAAGCTACTTTCTGGCCTGGTCTAACTGGGATTTTTTGTTGTTGTTGTTGCTGCAGCTACCAGAATTCAAATGCCGTGCATGGAGTGGAGAATCCATTACAAGTCATATTTGTGCTGATGCAGCATCCAGACTGGTGGAAACCAGGGTAAAGCTGCAATAATGCAAGGTGCTGTTTTGCCAGTCTTCACTAGCAGCTTACAGTAAGCAGCAAAAGATGATAACAGGGAAAATCCCCCAGTACCAAAAAGGCCTTAGTCTCTTCCCTGCCACAAACACTTTTTGTTTGGAAGCTTCTCTTCTATAATTTTAGACCTCTCAAGATGATAAAACAGGACATTTCTATAAACATGCTTTTCTCCAGTGGAAACCACCTGTCTCCAACAAGTTTAACACATTATTAGCATCCTTTGCCGTTTTGACCTTAAATGAATCATCTCAGCACTCGTTCTAGCAAGAGCCAGTCTGTTATTAACAGCGACATTTTCCATAATCTCTCACACTGATCAAACCAGCCATCAGGCATTATCACGCATCAAAGGAACGAGACCAAACAGTGTTTAGGAGGCTTTTCAGTAAACCCTGTGTTTCTGTGACTTACAGAAGCGGCTGCAAATATTAAAAAGGTAGAAAGGAAACACTGGTATTTAAAAAGAACACAATGAACAACCAAGGAGGGGACACTGGAGGAGTTAAGAAGACAGATTCATTTTGTCTGGTTACCCAGGGCAAGAAGGCAGTTCTCCTAGCATCCTTTCCATGGTCCCGCTGCTTTCTATTGTGGGGGTGAGCAAAACTACCAATAGCCTAATTAAACACAAATGCCACTGCCTGTCTTTTGAAGTAAGGTGCAGATGCTGCTTTATACTGCTTCATTGCAAGTGGGACAATGTGTCACAGCATCAAAGGAAATATTACTGCTGGCATGTTCGCCTGTAACTCCTCTGTGAGTTATGTGCACCATAACTGGCTGAGGCAACGAGACATTTTAGGATGACTCACACCAAAAAGCCCTGATTGTATTGCAGGAGTTCAGGAGGATGGGCTGGGTCAAGTGACAAAAACCGGAATTCAAAAGCTCTATTGTACCTTTGTAAGATGGAATTTGTTTTTAAGGAAGTGATGTTAGGAAATAGAAGTCACTCCACAGCTAACAAGACTGGTTTCATTACCTGAGCTATCTAGTGTTAGGAGACTTTACACGGACACCCAGAAAGTGTCACTAGTGCCTCAGAATTACTGCTGGAGCATCAACAGGGGAGGAGGATTAGTGGAAGATTACACAAAAGGAACACTTGAAAATTAGGGTGGACTTGGAGTATGCTATACTCCCACTACTTTGTAAGGGCCAAATATCCAAGACAGAAAAAAAAAAACCAACAAGAGGCCAGTTATTCACCTAGGTAGTCAGGTCTTCAGAAGGGCTCAGGTGAAAGCAGCTCCCTCTGAACAGGGACTAGAAGATGCTAGAACAGTGGCTCTCAACCTTTTCTGGTTCAAGGCACCCCTCAGTATACTCAAGCCCCAAACTTGGGAAATGCTAGGTCTTAGTTTAGACTTGTTTCTTGTCTTCAAAAAATTAATAGAACAATTATTCTGTTGCAAAGGACTCAGGAAAGATCACAGCAGGTCAGAATAGTTTTAACACTATAAATTCCTCTTTGAAAACTCTGGGTTTATCTTGTGACTCATGTATACGCACCTCACAGTGCTAACCTTGCGTGACACCCTGCAGCACACCTTGAGATTCTTTCAATCTCAAGGCACCCCAGGGTGCCATGGCATCCTGGTTGAGAACTGCTTTGAGAGAGAGGTAGTTAGCCACATTAGACTGAAGTCAGGCAGAAGGCAGGGCAGGGCAGCACTGTAAAAGAGTAACTAATTCAGAGCAGTATAAGCTTTTGTAGGCAACAGCTAACTTCATTAGATGCTATGATAGTTATCATAGCATCTAAGGAAACAGGCTTTAGCTTACAGAAGTTTATGCCTCTCAGAGGCAGTTATTCTAGAGGTGCTATCCTGCCCTGCCTTCTGCTAGATGCTTGAAAATCTGTTCCCTAGCATTCACAAAGCTGAAGGGTAGATGAGGAATGAAGGATTTAACACAAAGATTAAGATAAACTCAGAGGTAGGTAGAACACACAAAAAACAGAAGATGCATAGAAATAAAACTGAGAAGTACAGACATAACCGTGAAAAATGATACCCCACATAGCTCTGTGACCTTGGGAATAAGCAATTTATACCTGCTCTCTCTGGAAGACAAGAACATACCATTAGTTACAAGTATTGCTGCTTGCCATAACTCATTTCAGCCCTTAAGTGATTCCGTACATAAACATTTTTTTCAGTTACGTATTAACATGAAACAGATCTGGAGGAAAGTCATCCAAGCAACTTGGGTACATGAGTATTTTGCAAGTTCAAGTCAAAGCAAAGATGACTGTCCTCAACTTTGATAGATAAAGTCAAAGCAGCTTGAGAACGGCGGACAAAGGAGACAGTAGTTCCTGTCCTATGAAAGCCTAGAAGAATGGGCCAAGATTTGTGGGTTTGTGTTTATTTTGAATGAGGAACCTAAGTCACCACTTCCTCCTAGCAAAAAAAAGTCTGCATCAGAGAACAGAGTGTTTTGAGACAGGTGTATTCATCAGCTATGAATGAAACATGTACACAATAGTGACTGATGAGTATACTCCATCAGCACCATCATGCAAGTACTGTTTATAGTACAAGACTCAAGCCACAGAGTTTGCAACATTAAGACCTGCAGCTAGAGTATATGCCACTGTGTCATGGTTATACAGAAGCTGCGTTTTGCAGTGCTTCAAGGCCACCTGGCATTAACCCTCCCTAAAAGGTGATGGAGAGCTTGTGGAAGCATTACACAAAACTTTCATCTAGGCTGCACAGATTCTGCTTGTGCATGTGTTGCCGTAAAAGGCTGCATGTGTAGTAGCCTGTGCATATGTAGGGGCCCTAAATGTCAAAATGTCTAGTTCATTTTATAATAAACACATTACAAAGACACTGAAAATGCTTTGTTACTGAGATGTGAGTATCATAGGCACACGCACACACACAAGCTCCCTCCACTGCTCTAAAGTCAGGAGTTAGAAACAGATACCAGCTCTCAGCCTACCCCTTGCAAGCATCAAAAGCCCCTGTGGATGTTACTAAATTTAAATGTCACAAGAATAATCATCCTGTCCTTAGATCTTAACACAAAATGTGAGGGGAGAAGGTATTTCAACTCTGGCTTTTGACAGGGTTTAGTTTAAATCTACACAATTCTGTTAACTATTTAGGATCTTAAAGCTGGATTCTGACTCATCTTTAGAGCGAGAAAAGATTTAACCCCTAAAACAGCAATACTCAGCTCTGCCTGGCTCAGGAGCCCAAAAGCCACAGCAATGTGATGTAAATCTGTGGCGCACACTTCAGTTAAAACACTACAATACTTGGTTCTGCAAGAGAGAGAGCATGTGTGTGCTGCATTATTCACAGTTGCAAGGAAGACTTATCCAAGCCATGCAATAAACAGAGAAAGACAAACCAAGAAATGCAGCAAAAAGCTAATGAGACTTTCTATGAAGCAACAAAAGTGATAAGCTGCAGAACCACCCGCAGCTTGGGAAGCCCAGCCTGAGTGTTACAGACCTATGAAATGCCATTGGTTTAATCAACAGCTGTAGGCTGGGTCTCTTACCATTTGACTGTTGCAGAACCATCTTGAACTCCAAATGTGACTTCTAAATAGGTTTCTCTTGGCACTGGGCCTTTTCTACGAACAGCAGCCTCTGTGCTTATGGTTTTTGTATATACAAAGCCCTCCACTATATCTCACTTACCTGCAGAGCTTATTTTTGTACAATTCATTCATGTTTTGTGCTATTAAAAATGATTCAAATACAACAGCTGTAATGACTTGTTTTGGTTCTTCTGATTAAGGCTAAGGGCATTACTGGTTTAACATAGACATAATCCCTGTATGGAGGACTGTATAATAAAAGGCAGACAAAGACTTAACAGTTTTTTGGCATCTAACTTTCATATGGTCTCAACCCATCAAAGTCCCCAGCAAAAAGAACCACAAAGTTTGAGGAGGATGGCGCTCAAAAGATAAAGGATCGAATTTGGCATGCATTTGCAAAGTTTGTGACATTTCCACTGAAAAACTGATCTACATGTTTCTTCCCCCAAAATGAGACCATTACACAAGATTGACTATGATCAGTTCAACTTCACCGTTACAAATTCAGTCTCCAATTTTCCTCCCCGCATCTTCCAGGAATTAAATGAACAATTTTACAGTGAAATGCATGGAGTATGCAGGATTATAAATATTGGGCCTGGGGGGAAGAAGGTTGGGCTTTTCAAAACAAAGGCAGCTTTCGCAGTGAGAATACCAACTACTACTTTCATTTGGTACCTAAATGAGAGTCGACCTCTTCTGGATACTCCATTGGTGGGCAATTCATCTGTTCTAAGTCTGCATGTTAGTCTACAACTCATGCTAGGAACAAACCCAGGCTAAAAGTGAGGCCAAATGAATACAGGGCAGACTCTAAATACATTGTCATGCATCCACAGATGCATCTCGAGCA